AATGTCCTTCTGGAACAGCCCTGCTGGGTGCTGGGACCAGGGGCTGGGTTGGAACAAATCTCCTGTAAGCAGCAACAGGATTGATGTTGGAGGTAAAGGATGTGTAGCTGGGTACAGGGTAGAGCTGCTTAAGCTATCAGGGGAAATAGTGAAGCATACAGATGATTATAATACTAATACATATGCATTTAGGTTGTTTTCATGTTAAAATTAGGCAGTGCATAGTGTTACAAAAGGCTGTTCCCAAACGCTCTAATTACAACTTAATGTAGGACCCAAAGGGGAGAGCTGGAGTCAACCAACCCAGCCTGTGCTACAAAAGAAGGGCAGGGGTCAGGTACAGCAGCCTACAGGTCAGTGATGGAAGGATTCTGACACCCATCAGTGGTGATTGTAAGTCCTCATTATAGTCTTCCCCAAGCAGCGATTGAGAAGGTGGGGAATGGTGCCTGGAAGTGAGAGGTTGTGCTCCAGTTTGTAATGGGAGGGCTGTACAGCTTCTTGTTGCCTCTGGGTGCTAGCTGCTGTGCCCTGGCACAAGAGACGTGACAACTGCCAGCCTTAAAGCCCCTTATTCTGTTCCCCTTGTTCTGATCTCTTTTCTTGACTGATGAGTTCCCAAATCTTAAACATGCCCTTAACTTCACACAAACACTCATAGATAGCTATTTCTGCCCCAGAACCATCACCTGGCTCTCCAGGTTTCATCTTCCTTTTGAAGAATGCAGTGTGATGCTCAGGCTCTATACAGCCAGGGAGCACAGAGGTGCTGGGCTCACTGCTGTGTCTGTATGGTGGAAAGCATGCAAATGTGCAGACTTAATGCACAGAGGAAAGCACCCAGTATTTTAGGTGAGGATATGTGCTCAGGAGGGATGGGTCTCCCCAGCTTCTGCTGCAGCTCCTTTCACATCCTCTCCTGCAAGGCATGTGCCTCAGCATTCTCGTACCTTGGAGCTGTGTGCTCCAATTTTGTCTCCACAGAATGCCCTTTTCAGAAGGGACACTTTGAAACTGGGTACCAAGGCATCACTTCATACATTGCCACACCATTTACAGCTGAAGTGTGGAGAAGTAAGTAGCACAAACCCAGAAGAAGGTGGATTTGTTTCTGTAACAAGTAGTTGCTCAAGTGAAATGACTTTCTTTGAGGCCCTGTGTCTTTTTGCATGGCTTTTCACATTTCACTGCCAATATTTTGGATGGAACCAAGGGTTAATGTCTTAAAACTGGGCAGTTTCCAGAGAAGGTGAGTTCTCCCTGCTGCTATGGAAAGAATCCTAGGGAGAAGACCTATGGAGAAGGGGAGCTGAGAGATGAGCTGTTCCCGATGAGTGCCACGCGCCATCACCGATGCTTTAGAAGGAAGCACGGCCTGTCTTAAGCCCTCATCTGAGCCAACAAGAAAATCAAGTATTTTTAAAGGTAAGCTACAGAATCTGATGGTTTTTTGTGTGTTCAGTGCAAAATGGGGCATTTGAAGTGAAATTGCTTTTAAAAAAAAAAAAAAAAAAAAAATTATGCAAAATTTCAATGTAACATAGAACATTCAGGAGTGTCTTACAAGAAATCCCTTGTTTAAAGTTGTAATGCCAGCTCAAAATACATGGTCTACGCTGTAATTGCTCTCAAAATATCTGCTAATCTTGCAGCACAACAACTGTGCTATTCTTCTCTGCACGTTACAAGGAAATAATGCTGACATTTTGCCACATGCCCTGATGGCATTCAGCTCCTGTGGGACTGGGCTGAACAGAAAGACTCAGTGCTTGTCTTGCATCGTTCAATTTTTATTATGCTCTTCAGCATTTCTGATTGGCATTAACAGCTTGACACTGTTAGGAGAGAGAGGAGATTTTCATTGTCTGTAATTATCAGACAGTAGATTTGATGCTGGATGAATCAATATTTCCATTTCAAGCAAACGCTCGCGTTTGTAGTCTTTAATTCCAAGAAATATGATGTATATTCAGAGAAGGCATCATTAAATAAAAGCAGTGGTAATGGCCTGCCTCTCTTTAAAAAAAAAAAAAAGTTGACCCTGCACATAAATTTTCCCTCAAGGAATCCATTAGTCCTTTTTATGTTAGTTAGCACAGTTGGTAGTAACGATTCGGAGAATAAATGAACTAATAGCTTTCTGCACGATCTGCAGCGGCAGACCTGGGATGGGAAGAGCTCATATAAAAATTGGTATGCTCCATTTGCTGTCAAATGCAACTTTGACTTTTACATGGCCTTCGTTTTGGGGCACATAGATCTTTGGGTTCCCGAGGTGAGGGCTGTGCCTTCGTTGCCATGAGGATGCTGTATGCAGCGCTCCATGGAGGAGATGCAACCACCCACCTCCTCTGCTTTGTCCCTTTGGCAGCAGCTCTGCCCATTATATGCAGTCCATGCAAGCTCAGCCACACCTCTGTTAACCAGACAGAACTCTTCTGTGTGAGCACTCCAGCAGATATCATGGGGAGCCCTGGTGCAATCGCTACATCCACATCTTTATCAGGCAGCTCCTTCAAGATGAAGATCTTGTCAACAGCTGAAAGAAGTCATCAAAGTAGCGGCCTTGAGGAGATAAACTGCTGCAGGAGCCATCAATTCATCAGCGCAGCTCTTCTTGTTGCCTGACAGTCACAGTGCATTTGTCACTGCCCTGCCCATTCTGCTCCCTGTTCTTTGTAACCTGCTTCAGGAGTGGAGATTACAGAGCCCCTTCACTATGGCCTTTACCAGGTGCTCAATCCAAGCAGAGAGATCTGCTATAATAGCTATTTAAGATATGTGAGTCTCCTGACTCCATCACTCCAAGATGGTATTTGGGTATAGTATGAAATGCATTACGTGGCTGGCTGAATTCAGAAATTAATGGTTTTGTAAGAAAGAATAGCATTATTGATAGTCTTGAATTTAAAGAGGGAGAGAATCTGGAATCCAAAAGATATTTTTATGTCATAAATACCTATAAGGATAGGGAAGAAAACGAGGGCCAGCTCTGAGGCTATCTGCATTAAAAACTGGAATTTTGACACTAGATGTAGCACGATCTTTAAATAGGCATCTTCATGTCTCCTGGAGGACTCAGAGACACGGTCAGAAACTTGTAAGCATTGAGACATCAATGCCTCTCTCTCTCTTGTTTCCTGGGCCCACTTAACTTAATGATTCACTAGAACCTAGGTTGCCCCAGGAGGCTGTGGATGCCCCATCCCTGCAGGCATTCAAGGCCAGGCTGGATGTGGCTCTGGGCAGCCTGGGCTGCTGGTTGGTGACCCTGCACATAGCAGGGGGTTGGAGCTGGATGAGCAATGTCATCCTTTGTAACCTGGGCCATTCTATGATTTTTATTTATTTTTTTTTAATGATATGATTCTATGATTTTGCAGTGGACATCAAAGACAACAGATTTTAGCCTTGGAAAGGTCAGAAACAACAGCCACAAAAACAGCAAAAAAGAACAGAAAAAGAAGAGAGAAGGGAAACGAGGACCCAGTGAGTTTTCTCTTCCCACAAATATAAGCCAGCGAAATTGTATTCAAGATTATAAGGTTTCCCCTTTGAACACCTCTGAACAAGTAATGCTCAAGATTTGGAGTGAAAGACCTGGAAAGAGCAAACTAGGTATTCTTCTGCCATGAACCTGCTGTAAATGTTAGGCAACAGGGGTAACTGAATACTTTTGTATGTTACTGGGCAAGTGGTCAAGTGGTGCAGTCACCGTCTCTGGAGGTGTTCCAGGGCCATGGAGATGTGGCACTGAGGGACAGGGGCAGTGGGCACGGTGGGGAGGGGTTGGGCTTGGGGATCTTGGAGGTAATTTCCAACCCGTGTGATTCCATGAAAGGGAGATGTAGTGTGAGCACCAGGGGAAGCATGGTGTCCATTAGACCATGGAAGGTCTCAAAGGAGCTGCTGTGTAGAAGTAGGATGGATTTGCAATACTGACTTTCTTTCTCAACAAGAAAATAGTCACTGAATATTACCATGGAAGAGGAAATGACACCAAAGTGTCAGAAAGTTGTAATAAATTGCTATCTGATTGGATTTACTGAAGCCAAAAATGTAACCAAGCTTAAAAACAAACAAGCAAGAAAATCCACTTGTTTGGAGCCATCGCATTCTCAGATGCACAGACTTTTATTATTTCCTTTCTTTGAGCTGTCCTTGGTTATTACTCATTTCAGAGGTGTTCACACTGCCCATTCATAAGATCTTGCCAGGCTCTTTGATGCTATCTGCTGTGCTGGAAGCATCCGTTGCCTCCTCAGTCTCCAGCTAAAGAGAACATTAGGAAAGAGAAAATGCTAGTGCCAGCTGGGGAACCTTTAACACAGGAGTTACTGGGCAGAGGGTGGAGGGGGTGGGGGGTAATGCTGTGTGCTTGCCCTGACCAAAGCCTACTGAGATAAAGATTTTTAAAGACAAACAATGCCTGTACTGAGGGATAATTTCTTAGTAATCTTTGTATATTTCTGTGTATGTGAAGAGATGTATTCACTTCTTTGTCAGATGTGCCTTTACTTGCTGTCCTGTGTCTGACCAAAGTCATAGAATCCTAGAATGGCCTGGGTTGCACAGGAGCACAGTGCTCATCCAGCTCCAACCCCCTGCTGTGTGCAGGTCGCCAACCAGAAGCCCAGGCTGCCCAGAGCCACATCCAGCCTGGCCTTGAATGCCTGCAGGGATGGGGCATCCACAGCCTCCTTGGGCAACCTGTGCCAGTGCCTCACCACCCTCTGGCTGAAAAACTTCCTCCTCATATCCAACCTAAACCTCTCCTTGAGCTGATGGTTCAACAGCTGCCATGAAGATCTGAGATGATCACTGACTGATTTGGGATGGGGTCGCATGGGAATCTGAATAGTTCTTGGAAGTTGTTAAACTTAGGCTTGAACTTGATGTTGTTGTGGTTAAGGTGGAGAGGAGCCCTGCAGTCCTGCTGTACCTATGCAGAAAAGTGGGAGTGTGAATGAGGACCGTGGGGAAGGGGCCACTGAGAGCAGAGACCAGTGAGGATGCAACAGGAAAAAGGTTTGTACTGGATTCATATTTACTGGGGTGGGTGAAAAACAATCATAGAAAAGAAACAAGACCTGCAGCATTCAGATCTGATACACACATTTGAGTATCTAAGAGCAAGTTCTCTTCTCTAACCACTACTTTCCTGAATGACAGGTTAGGTCTGGACCCTTAGCTGATGTCTCACAACCTACTGAGTGCATCTTTCCTGCCACTGTTTCTAAATAACACTGTATGAGGTTGTGTGATGGGCTGCAGCGTTGTGCATCCTTGGTTGGCTCTCAGCTCACAGGGAATCTCTCTGTTAAGGATCTCAGTGATTTTTCCAAGCTAACATTCCTCTCAGTATATCCTTTATCCTCCCAGCAGGTCCATGTGCTGGTGGAGAACACGCAAAGCAACTCCTTTTTAATCCTAATAGGGCTCTCCTCCCATCTGGCAGATACAATTCTGAAACGATTTAGTAAGTGCGAGCTCTAATGATTTGTAATATACTGTAACACTGCCAAGTTAATACTTTGGCACCTTTCTATAAATGCAATCCCCAGTTCCTTTCCTACCTGCAGCGCCACGGCCACCAGAAGTCAGTGGGCTCACAGAGGTGTTCTGAAGGACCTTCTGCAGTACCTTTTGTTTGCGTTGTGTTGTGCGTGAGCTTAAATCACGGTCAGTGTTAGTAGCTCAAGGCCTCAGAGACTGCTAGTTTTACCTGTTTTGATGCTGTTTTACAGTAACTCTTCTAAAACCACGCACTGTCTGTACGCAGCGCGGCACAGATGGGAACTGTCCTAATTCCCAGCAGGCAGCAAAATACTCTTTTCACCCTCAAAGGGCGAGCACAGGAACTGCAGTCATGCTTTCTTCTTGGATAGCAGTCTCACGTTTTGAAGCCCTACCACTTTTTACTGTAGTCTGCCTTGCTGCATCTGATGTTGGGATCTCTGTCTCCAGTCCTGCAGGTGACAACCCGCCAGGAGCTGGGTGCTGTGAGGATGGGATGTCCCAGTGCACCCAGAGCCTTACAACCACCTCTGGGTGTCCTCAGGATGCTCTTAAGGAGAGGTTGCTCAGAGTAAGATGAGGGAAGGTGACAGAGAATACTCCATGCTCCTACAGTGCATTGCTTTTGAGGAATGAATAAGTGCACTTCTCACAGACCAGCATGTCTAATTGCTCCCTGGAAGACTTGGATGTCACAGCCTAGCTCACCTGCAAAGTGTGCTGGTTTACAAAACCAGTATAAATACCCCGAAGGCAGCACCAGGAGCACTGCTGCGGTGCAGTGAATTAGCATTATTCCTGCGTGCAGCACTCTAACCTCCAGAATGTACTTTCCCTTTGGATTCAAAGTGATATTTTTCTATTTTCTTTCTTTATACAGCAGGTTCAGCCTCCACCAATGTTCATGCTGAGCGCTGCCTCTCCCCTCCTTAACCATCTCTTTGCTTTCCAGAAGCTCACTGATCACTGCTCTCTTTGCTCTCCACATGGGCTCCAACTGCTGTGTCCTGAAGGCTGCTCGGGCTGGGATCCTTTCTCAAATCCATAGGACAGCAGCAGCCTTCTCCAGAAGTGCCTGTTTCCATAACCCTTCTGATCTCCTGCTACTTTCTGTTCCTCTCTCCATCCACAGCACTGACAAATGCATTGTTTATACCCGTTTCTTTTCATTCCCTTGATGTTTGTGTAGCGATATGTGTTCTTCCTCACTGCAGTCCCCAGCGTGGATTGCTGATAGGGAAAAAAAAATTGTGTTTTTCTTGTCTCTGCTGCAAACCGTGCCCTTGAGCTGAAGAGATAAAACCAGTGGTGGAGTGTTTAGTGCTGTGTGAACTACCAGCAGCGGGGCAAAGACAACTTTCTTGCTTCTGTTTGGATGTGAGCAGGAAATTTTCCACACAGAGGCAGTGAGGACCCTGGAGGTAGCTGAGTTCATAGGTGGGCCCAGGGCACCCTGAGCCAGGGGCACCTGACCCATGGCAGAGGTGGGGCTCTGGGCTGTGAGGTCCCTTCTCACCCATCCACACTGTGGTTCTGTGATGCTGTGGTTTGTCTCTACAGCAGGAGCTGCTCCTGTTGTTTCAGAGAGCAGGAAGTCTCACAGCCCCAATGACCAGAGCCATCCTTTGTGCATGGCACACCATGGCAGCTTTGCATATTGCTGTGCCATCTGCATGTCGCTGCTGCTCTGACATGAAGCTGAGCAAACTGCTTTGGGTTTGTGCACCTGGTGGCCTTCCTGCCAGCACAGTGCTTGCTCCTCACCATAAATGCAAATGGGTTCCTCTGAGTGGAGCTAAGATAGTGCTGGGGCATACTAACCTCACAACCGGTCGGTTCTGCTGGAGGAAAGAGCACAGCCGAATGCTGGGGGAAAGTGCTCATATTTAAAGCTACTCACATCAGAAATTCTCCCGTTCAAGATGAAACAGACGTAAATTGGCCTAGTGATTTCATAGTAGCAAATCGTAACAATAAAAAAATCATTAAAATCTTATTGGATATGTCTAGGGCCACCAGTGGGCAATTGCCTGTCTTATTAACCACATTAATATCCTTTATGAAACAAATTTCAATTTCAGCCATGGCAATTCCTGCGCAGCATACAAAAAAGATGATTAAACACGAAAAACAAAGTGTGGCTTTTCAGCTGCCACTCTGCTACATTTCCTCCTGGGATTGCAATGGGACCAGTGCTGGACTGGATGATCCCAACACACCTGGAGCAGCACGGCCTCAGCTACTAGCAGGTTTAATAGAACTGCCCTGTTCCCACGTCTCATCCAAAACACAGCCCCTGTTTGTACTTCAAAATAGATCTTTGTAACTGTGACAAAATGCTGCACTGGGGAGACGTTTCCTGGTAGTGGAAATGCAGCGAGGAGAAAATATGAATATATTTGTAGCTGGTTAATTTTTTTTTCTAAAGTGTAGAGAACAGAGTTCAAATAATTTTCAATCACAGCCTCTTAATTTCTCCTTCCTTGACCTTCTTGTTCTGTTTGTTATCCAGTTTTATTGTTTCTTCCCTCTGCTTGCTGGGTTGCTGCAGAAGTCTGGTTCATCCGGCACAGTGTATTCATCATGTTGGTTTGGGTCATTAATCTCTGCTTTTCCTTCAAAAGATAATACATGTTTAATGGCTCTGTAATGTAATAGGCAGCAAGGCAGAGTATTTGACACAAGTCTGAAGGGCGCTAGAATAATGCGCTTCCAAATTTATTTAGATATCTGTATTTCCTCTGAAAGATTTTCAGTGGTCCTTCAATGATCTAATGGGCTTGTATAGTCTGTGGTTGTTTTGAGAATAGAATTAAATCCACCCTCCTTAGGTAAAAAGTCAATAGCTGATGGAGAGGAATGAGAAAATATATTTTTCTCATCATATTCCCTACTTATTTACTGCAGGACTTCCTATGATTTCCTCAGTGCACTTGTGCTGCAGCTCTGCTCCAGGCTGGGATGGTCGGGTTCCCTTGCATCCATCTGACGTAGTGGCATCTCAAAGGCTGTGGGCAGGTGAGATGGGCACTGGGAGCATGGGGGGCACAGGGGAAGCTGGGGCACAATTCACAATCTGTACCTACATACTGAATATTACACGTGCACTGTAATGCTGCAGTGCAAGAGCTCTGCTCTGAGCATGGATTGGAGCCCAGCAGCTTGGGTTATCCCAAGAAGGATGGCAAGGACCAACTTTAAGGCAGGGAAAAAGATACAAACGGGGATGTTCAGCTGGTGGGTTGGAAGGGGGAAGCTGTGGTCCCTCCTGCTGTTTGCTGGCAGATTTCAGATTGGATATTAAAGAATGTTTCTTCTCTGAAAGAGCGGTGATGCAGTGGCACAGCTGCCTAGGGAGTGGGAGGGTCAACATCCCTGGAAGTGTTCAGGAACCATGGAGATGTGGCACTGAAAGACATGGGCAGTGGGCATGGTGGGGTGGGCTGGGGGTCTTGGAGGTCTTTTCCGACCTCAACGATTGTATGATTCTATGACTGCCACACTCAGAGCACATCACCGGTCAGTGGGGACATCTGTCATTACTCAGGGAGGTGCTGGAGGGCACACTACGAGCACCAAGACTCAGACTGCTCTGGAAAAATGTAGAAAGCTGTGCCAAAACCTACTTAAATTTCCCCTCAGTAAATGATTCAGGCTGCACGCGGGGCTAATAGCCAATATACAGCTATTATTAAACTTTCATGTTGTTTTGAAGGTACACAGCATTTGGTTTTGTTGCAGTTTTAATTTAAATTAAGGTCCGTAATTGGATAGTGCAGAACAGCCTTCTGTTTCAGGAACATGATAGCAGTGAATCTGTCTCCTCTCATGGAACAGAGGCTTGCTCTTATCTGCACTGAAAAAAAGAAAGCAAAAAAAAAGAAACAATAGTTATTGTGAAATAGGTCGTGTGGGTTAAAAAAATGATTTCTGCTTCCTCGGGTGTCCCATGCTCCCAGGAGAGTGGTATCAGGGGACAGCTGTGTCCATGTCAAATGTACAGAGCTGAGGGCCAAAGGGTAATTAAAAACATCATGAAAGTAATTTGGTCACTGATTAGTAAGTCCCGGGCATCTTAAGGAGCAAATACCACCATGGTTTTTTCCCTTCGGGAATCCAATGCTAACGGGACAACAGCTCATCTACACCAAGCCCAGACTGCTCTCAATTTGAAAAAAGCCTGTAGCCAAATCTGCTGCAGTTTTAGAACACGACCGCTATTAATGTCACTGTCCAAACAGTTTGTAGCTTAGGGAAAAGAGAAAACTGCAGTACCAGTTCATTTGTGGGAAGATCAGAGGAGCAGCACCATGGCCATGTCTACGTGCCTTGGAGGGATCTGCTGTGCTGTACAACCAGTGCGTTTCCTCTGCTGATATACGGAGCTTATATGCACGTACAGGTATGCCTCACTGTCACAAAGATCGTAAAAGGAATGGGGCATCTAATGCCCCAGTGGCACAGCTGGGCAGGAATGGTGGGATCACCATTCCTGGAGGTATTTCAGAACCATGGGGATGTGGCAATGAGGGATGCGGGCAGTGGGCATGGTGGGCTGGGCTGCAGTTGGGCTTGGGGATCCTGGAGAGCTTTTCCAACCTGAGTGATTCTGTGATTCTATGATCTCTTATAGAAGGACAGCCTGGAGAAGGCTGGGGAGGATCCCATCCACATGTATGAATACCTGATGGGGGCAATAAGATGGAGCCAGGCTCTTCTCAGTGTTGCCCCAAGGGGCAGGAGGCAATAGACAAAGATGAAAATAAGAATTTTTGGTCTCTTTTGTCTTATAACAAACAAACCAGCAAAATCAATCAGGAAATTCCATTTAAACATAAGAAAACCCTTTTTTGAACTGCAACCATGTTTAAGCATGGGAGCAGTTGCACACTGAGGCGGTGGATTCTCTGTCCCTGGAGATGGCCAATGCCAGGCTGGAAGCACTGGACAACCAATTCCAACCATCCCTGCTCTGTTTTGACCAGACATTCTCCAGAGCTGCCTCCAGACTCAATGCATTTATTTTATGTTTCTGTAATGATTCTATAAATTTTGTTTTTCCAAAAACGATAGTGGGTTTATCCTGCACAACTTTTAAATCTGGTAGCTTGTTACATTTTGTAGCTTCATTTTGGTCCATGGGAAGCATATTCCTGTGGATGAAAGAGATGCAGGGTTTATTAATCTGTCCATTTTACATTAGCTATCTGGGCAAAATGATAGGCATTTCTTATTTGAAACTTGTTATAGAGAAACATATGGTCACGTACATGAAGTGAGAATAATTTCAAGTTTGGAATTCCATCTAGACGCTGACATGAATACCCAATAGCAACAAAGGAAATTTGAAAGCAGTTTAGACTAAGCCTGGGGTATAATAATCTGCAAATGAAATGCAAATTCCTCTCAGCAGGAGTGCAATATGCTGTTGTCTCAACAGGGGTACTATTTACTGTTGCTTTGGAAACGTGCAGGAGGGAAGCATGGGCCATTGCTTTGACAGAGGGTAAAGGCAGCTCATACCTTTCTTCTGCTTGACTTCCAAACCTGGCTTTTGGAGGTGGGTTGTTCACCCTAATAATAAGATGAGTTGTGCAATAATTAATTGCAATTGCATTCATATGAAACCCTGTGGAGACCTTTGCCCACTTCCAGCCCTTCATCTCACACCTCAGAACTGCCATCCTGATTCCCAAGTTGAAGCAATCTTAGAGATATCCTCATTGAGGAGCGATGCTTAAACACTCCTACATTCCTCAGAGCTGAACTATCAGTGTAGGTTTGACATCCCTCTATTGCTGCTGGATTGCTGGTAAGTGGCCTGATGGCTCTTTCATCCACAGACATTCCTCCCTTCAGCTGCTGGTACACAGCGCTGTGCCCGGAAACCTTTCCCACCTCCATCTTTATGACCACCTAGAAGGATCATGTAACTAGAACTGTAATCTGCAGCTGATAGCAATAGAAAAGGAAATTAGTATCCTGCATTTAATTAATATTTGCACCAAGAGAATTGTTAAAATCTAGCCAGCTGTTACCATCCCCTTTCATTACTTTAAATGTTGATAACATTTGTCTCATGTACCAAAAATACTTCAGCAACCAAAGCGCTCATGAAGACCGATGGTGGAAAGTGAAAGGGATTGCATTTATCACAGCCTCGAAGCTGCAAGTGCAGTAAGTGTGGATGGGTGTGAGTTCTACTGCACCATAGAACACAATCAACACCTGTGCTCAGTGCTTCAATAATCTCAGAAAGAAATTGGCTCCCACATTCAGGGAAACCAAGCTCATTTCTGAAGTGACATTAATTGTCATTTCTTAACTGATCAGGCAGAAAAGTCGAAAGAATAGTAACAACAAAAGGCTGTAGGGAGATATGCTGTCTTAAGCATGTGGAGGATCTTCCAGAATTAATTTCAATTTAATTTAATTTCTTTAATGAATCTGGCTGCTAGAATGGAAATAGAGCTCAGTTTTCTACATTTTCTTTCTGAATCTCTTAGGTACTGTAAAAACATGACATTTTTCATTGTGGAGTGCTTTGCATGGCAGAGATTTTAGAATAAATAAGTGCATTATGCCATCCAGTGTCATTAAGTGTCATAAATCATCAGGATTGCTGTTTGAGAACTAGAAGTAGGTAATATTCCATAAAGTTAATTTATAAAAAAAGGCTATGAACTCTATTATTGCCTGCTGAATTACTCCATTGACACCAAATATTTTGTGTGTAAGATTAAAAAAAAAAGAAAAAAAAAAAAAGAAAAGAAAAAGACAACTAGATGATAAAACAAACCCGAAGTAGTAACAGCATGGCAAAGTTCATCATCGTGTGCTTGAATATCATACTTGAGAACTTACTTCCTTTGATGCTAAATAGCACCTGTTTGCATGTCTAACGTTCATTGTTCCTATTGCAGGTTGGCAGGTCCCTTAGCTGAGGCAGCCCCCCTCCATTCTGTGGTTCTATGGGCCCAGGCTCACAATGCAGCGGAGCAGAGAGAGTTGGTGTGCTGACAGGTGTGTGTTCCTATCTGTTGGTCATCCCAAGAGCTCACCCATGGGCAGCGGGATGCTGTGCTGCCCCTCTCTTATGACCATTTCTTCATATCCACAGTGCCTGCTCTACTACAGCCAGACAGCAGCAGTACGTACAGCCACTGACAGCTCACAATGAAGTAAGAAACTAACAAGTGACATGAGAAAGCAGGTAGCTTAAGTTAATATTCATAACAGAGAGACTTCAGGCAATGTGGACGTTTCCTTCTTAGAACAACCCAATTGCATTTAATAGGCAATAATTTCTGTTTTGTGGTATGTTACTTATCACTTCTATCAGGGTAATCACACAGGCTATTTGTAATTCTGCTCCCACCTTGGAGCAATACAGCTATTGAAATGTATCTGTCTCCTTAATATCATCATTTCTATAAATACAAACAACAATCTTCCCAAAAGCAGATAATCCCCACCAATGTAACAACAAGACATTTTTCCAACTGCTTCACTGAATTATCATAGTACAAGAATGCTATAGCCATTGGAAAACAAATCTTCAAAGGACCTCAGGAGGGAGGTCAGTTTTTCCATCTCCCTGCTCTGAGACACAACCAAAAGCTTCTAAGGATGTTTTCATCAAACATAAGGTAGTATGGTGAGGTCGTGGTTGGACTTGATGATCCTTAAGGTCTTTTCTAATCTGAGTGATTCTATGATTCTGTGATAACGAAATGCTTTAGTACCACCACTAAAAATGATTTCACAGCCACACATTAGAAGGTCTCAGATAGTTTCATTGTCCACACAATAAGAAAAATATTTAAGAATACTAAATCCAGGAATCCTTGCTAAATCCTTTGCAAGGCACATTTCCTATGCCTGCTGATAACCAGTCTCCAGTGTGTGAGTTGAAGACCCATCAGTAGTCATTCATTCAAGGGAATATCAGGTGTGAGTATGTAAAAAGAGCTGCTAGAGCCAAAGCAGCAATTCCTTTTCTCCAATTACTCTTTTGATAACAAAAAATGTGTTGGCTTGACACTGAGAAAAACACACTGGATGTTATGTCATCTCACCTTCACCTAGCACTTTTAAACAGATTGCTAAACAATGCTTCACTGTCCTTCTCTGCAGAGGTTATGCTGGTAAGTCTACAGCTCTGTCTCCTTATCTGTTGTCTTTTCAAAGAAGAGGTTGTGTATTTCTTCCTTTCTGTACTTTGGGGACCTCACCTTCCCTGTCTGAGTTTTCCACAGTAGACATTAATGGCTCAGAAATTGGTGTGTTTAATTCCTTAAGCACTCAGAGGGGTTTCACGAGGTCTTGATGGGTTGAATAAATACAACCAAGATAAATAGTGTTGCACCAATCCTGAACGGTGTAGTTGATTGCTACATTCCTGCTACAGGAACAACTTATTAGTAGCTGTATTTTTTCCTATGAAGACTGAGGAGAAAAAGAAAAAAAAAAAGCTCTTTTAAACATTCAAGGCTTCATGTTTTTTCTTCTTGCTTGCGAAATAACAAAACTACATTTTTCTGTCTTTATTCTTAGTGTTTTACTGCTACTTTTTCTTGTGTTTCTTCCAGCTACAATTAGTTTTGATCCTTATTCTTCCCATTTCTTCACCTTTCGTTTTTCTTCCATTGCTTTCTCCTTGCCCTGGGGGTGAGAGTTGGTGAATGACTGCTTGCACAACCACACATTTTCCAGGCCTCCTACAGTGGCAGAGAAGTCAGAGCCAGGAGCGTGGCCATGGTCCCATCTGTCTTTAGGAGTGCAGAAGTTGTAAGTACAGCTCTGACTCTTAAGGGAGGTGGTGGGATCACTGTCCCTGGAGGTGTTCAAGGTGGTGGTGATGTGGCAGTGGGCATGGTGGGGTGGGCTGGGTTGGGCTTGGGGATCTTAGACAGTTTTTCCAAGATGAATAACTGCATGGTTCCACATCTCACTCTGGGCATCCACTTCCACTGTTCCCATAGGGGACAGCTACATATTGCATAGGGGATAGCAATGCAGGATTGACCTTCACATGGGAGCAGGCTCCTTCTGAACAGGGATTTGGGTGTAGTAATCATGTTTTTCCTGGGCACCGAAATCAAATTCCTTGCTGATACCCTCTTTGCCCAATTTGACAAGAAACTGTCATTTGACTGGCAAATTAAATGGAGACTTCTGTTTCATTTTCTCCATCTCCTCGGGACATCTTACTTAGTAAGATTGTGTAAATCCTTTAAATGAAAAGGATTTTGTACAATGTTCTTAGCATTTGTTTTTCTCTCTTTCCCTCTTTTCTATCCTGGATTAATTAATTAAAATAAATAACTTCATTATACCAATTGAATAGAAAACATATCCTTAGGATATCATTTCTCCATTCCATATATTCATTGAATTTGGCCTCAGAACCTCACTTGGCTCATCCCAACTGAATTCTAGAGGCAGATGCTTTTCAACTAGCACAGATCTGGCTGCCAGCACTGTTCAACACACGTTTTTATTTGAATGTGAAAAAATTCTCCAGCCAAATGTACTTGAAATTCATACAAAGGCCTCATAGTCACCAAAGTTCCACTACATAAGTAATACTCTTTCTGTTGCCAGATTTTAAAATTCACACCTCCTAAGACTTAGGAGGGAGTTGTCATGTCTCTTGTATTAAAACTGTATGACATTAATATATAATTTAACCAAGAATTTGACTGTTCTTGAGTAGTTCCAGTAATATCAGCAGTGACATTTTTTGCATAAATCTTCTCTACATTTTAACGCTCAGGAAAAGTTGGAGGAGTTATTATGTATAATACACCTTGTTTTGTATGTTTGAGCAGTCAAAGGATGAATCTGATTCATACCCTGGAGGCATTCATCTATTAAAATGCCAACGTAATGGATCTGAAAGCTTTGGCAGTGAGAAGAATAGGAAAATTTTCCTTTTTTTTTGAGTATGTAAGATTGTCCTTTCCTGAATATGATGGATCATCCAGAACAGAAAATGGGAATTGATACCTAAGATTTGGCTTTGTTACAGTTAAGTGAAATTTATCATGCTCTGCAGCAGGAGAAATTATTGTATTTTTTCTCGCAGTGCATTTAAGGCACCTGATAATTTAAGAAAGAAAATACGAATTCTCCTGGAACACAGAGACAAAAAGCTTCCCCTGTAGGCGACCGATTACTGTGGTTTTCTCCAAGTTAAAAGAAGGCTTAAATATTGACTGTATTGAATTTATGGACTTCTGTAGAGAAAAAAAAATATGCTCCTATAATCTTTAGACAGCTTTTCATATAGTTTACATTTAATTTTTGTCTGTAACAAATTCATTTTTTCTCTGTTTTATGTGAACTTGGAGCATCAGTCTGGCTGATAAGTGAAGATGGCACTGATCTATCACATATCTGTAGTGGCAAGTGGACCATTCTTACTGCAGACAGAGATGCCTTCCATTTCAGAGGAAAAAAAAAAAAGCGTAGGTAATACACATCTCCAACCCTTGGAGGGATATTTTGCTGTGAATAACAACTTCACACAGAGCTGTACGTGGATAAATATGGAAGTTTTCAAATATTCATTCCTTGAAAATGAATGAAAGCTGCCCAGCATTTTCTCCTTAACACTCTCCTTCCTTTTCACTCTCCTTCCACTGCATGTCCTTAATTTTTCAATTCTATTATGTAGGTCGTCTGTGGACCACAGTCCTTTTGGGCACACACGTGCCCTGCCATGGAGAATTTCTCTTGCTCTGACCCTTATTATCCTTCCTTTCAGTTTTCCTGCTCCAGATACAACTTGTGTCTAAGGAGCAGACTTCATAATGCTCCTCACAACCTGTGTCAGTGCTCAGTCACCCAGATTTTCACCACCCATCAATGACTTCTCCATCCCAAAGATGGGCATGGCTATTTAGAATTCAGAAAGAATGCTAAAAGCAATCAGGGAAATAAAGCATGGAGATATAGACAGAATTTAGAGAAGCCAATGTTGCCAACCAACATCCTAGCACAGATCTTGATCTGAAAATATCCTCAGGAAAAGAATATAATAGTCTAATAAAACCCCTCCCTTGTCACATTTCAGTCTCCAACTTCAAGTTCTTCAGACCTCAAACACAGGGGCCCAAAGTTGATGCCATTCTTTCTGAAACACGTAGTTATGGAAGTGATAATTATAATGGAAAAATGAAATTTCATTTAACTTGTAGTATCAACAGTAGAGATTGAGGGCCAGGGAGAAGCAGGGGGTACACAGTGATAGATCCAACCATGCAATTGGCTCAGCCAACATATCTGAGTACTTCCCAGGAAGACTTTGGTTACATGGCGAGGTGACCCGAGCAGTTGCTCTTCTTCGACAGGAACCAATGAAAACATTTGGTAAAAATGTCCATATAATAAGAACTGCGAGGCCCCAAATCCACAAAAAGTAATTGCTAAGAGATGTCGATCTATGTAAACTGACAATTCCCATAACTGATCACCCCCTCCTCGTTTATCCTCAGTCCTGTAATTTTTTGCTCTAAAATGCCTGCAGTTATCTGTTCTGCCCCACTGATATACAGACTGCCACTAAAGTAGCAGATATTCATTCAGAGCACGCGAGATGTCACTGCTTTCATGTTTCAGAAGTACTGTGTAATTCAAGGAGTTGAGAGAATGTGATTTTACAAAGGACTACTTAAGAAAATTCATGATTATTTAAAACTCAACTTTAATGTATTGTTCTATTTTCTTTTTACCCTTCAGATAACTTCAGTCTTTATACTGTAATATAATTTGGTGCTGGGGAATGGAATGAGTAAAGATATAAGTTATTTAGTCATTCAGATCTGCTAAATGAGAAATAATGGCTTCAAACAAGGAAGGGACATTATTAACTGCTCATAACATATGCTCTTACAGATTATTATCATTCCAGCAACCTTTCCATTAATTCCTTTTCCTGACTATCTGGACCGAAAGCGATGTCTGATTTTTACCAAATTCATCAAAGTGCTCCTGGAGTCATCATTTCTCATTTACAGTGTGAGTGCTCCGTTCAGCCAGCACATCTGTCATGGCTGACACCAGGCGATGAAATCTTACGGCTCTCCATAAGGCGTCTAAAAGCAAGGAGAACGGCGCACCGTGTGATGCTCGAGGAGCTACAAGTCTATAAAAGAGCATTAACTCTTGTGCTGTCACTCTCACGGAGGCAGTGCAGACCTCAGCAGTGTTGCATTGCCTGTGGGCTCAGGTGTTTGCAGTGATACCTGGGATGTGTGTGACAGGACGGACATCAGGGAGCCTGGATCATCAAAACTTCTCTTCCAGAGCTTGGAGCGGTCTTGGGCATGATGAGCCCTGCTGATCTCACATGGGGAATATTTAGGGAACGGAGGAGATGATCAAGGACACACACACAGCATAAAATCCTGGAGGTGCAATAAAAGTGATGCAGGGCAATCTGACCTTACAGCAGTAGTAAGGGAATGAAAGCAGATAACCAATAAATGAAGCCAAATGGAGCAAGGAGGAAGCAATGTCCAGTAGGCAAAGTTAGCATTTCTTAGAAAGCAAACATAAGGCTTTTGCTGGAGGTAGACCACGTGCCTAACGCAGACATATCTTGCAGGTATCTCTTTGCTGTTGTAGGTGGAATTAGAGTTTTATCTCTGGCAGCAAGACAGATGTGATCTGCTAGAATCAAACACCTCAGCTGAAAGGCTGTGAGTATCCCCAAGGCTTGCAAAGCACTGCTGTACTTCGTTGGCAACCTGGGTTAATACACCACAGTTAACTGTTTTCTTCTGTTGTCCTTAGACATGAAAAGCAGGAGAGATAAGCCAAAGGAAAAAAGTGCAGACAGTATGGTTAATAATGTGGAAGTTGTTTTCTGAGACTCACAATAACAAAGAATTTAGGCATATTTAGACAAAGCAGCCTAGTTTCACGAGTGGCAGCTTTGGTTGCATTTTCTCTGTGCGTGTGTTAGTGAAAACCAGTGCATGAACACAGCAGTAGTGGGTGGTTCAAAGGAGACCATACCCTGCTTTGGTGCCTGCATGAACCAGTTATGGTCGTGGAGCCACGAATACCCTTTCTTTTCCCTCACAAAAAGCAAAAAATAAAGAAAAAGAAAAATCACCAGTACTTAGAAAACCCCCTCCGAATGTAGGGAATGCGTTTAACAAATGCTATACCAAATAGGTGTCTGAGAAAGTGCTTACGAGAGTTGAAGAGGAGCTTTTAGTGATGTGATGGCACTGTGATTTTCTTCAGAGAGCACAAAGAAACCAAGGGCACGTTCCCACCAATCTCCTCAGCTTCTGTATATTAAATCCATGCAGCAATGCTCAATAAACAGATTGGTCAGCAGAGGGTTAATGCTTTCAAAGTCCTTATTACAAGCTAACGCTCACATGCTTCAGACATTCCAGCATCTTTCCTTGTCTACTTCTAATTTATTTCCTAATAAAACTGCTGACGTGAAAAGCTGATTTTGGAACAACTTTCAGTGGGGCTCAGCAAAATTGTTTTAATGACTAGCTTCTGCTTGCATGTGTGCTGGAGTGAGTGCATGAGGCTGGAGACATGCAAGCACATGGATCAGCAGGATTTGCACAGCACATCACTAAAACAGGAATTAGTGGGATTTAAATATATATACACCTTTTAAAACTTTTTTTTTTAATCTCAAAAGGACAAAAAATATCCTGATAATCCAGTAAGGTGGCTTCAATAGAGGTGCTTAAAAGGAATTCTGAGATCCCCAACTACAAGAAATGTGCTATTTCATTTATACATTGTGAGCTTCCTCATTTTTTTCTTAGCCCTCCTAAGGCTAGGCTCCAAAGCTGTTGTCATTCCTTGTCACTTCTCCTTACCTATATTAGAATTTGAACAAACAAACAGCTGGCATATAGAAAACAGATGGAAAATTCTTGCTGTTTCATGTTGCTGCCTGAAGGCACCCAAATTTCTCCATACAGCACATCAATGACCAGAGCACCCCATAAATAAAGGACAAAGCAGAAACAAGAGGAGAAGAAGCATTGATAAAAGGCAGAATCCAAGTCCCTTTTAGCATCTCAATTCATCACACGTCAACAGGTAGTAGAAGAGGGCAGGAAGAGAGTCCAATTATAGAATCACAGAGACATACAATGGCTTGGGTTGGAAGGGACCTCAAGGATCATGAAGTTCCAACCCCCTGCCACAGGCAAGGCTGCCAACCACCAGATCAAGTGATAGATCAGCTTGCCCAGGGCCACCCCCAGCTTGGCCTTAGACACCTCCAGGGATGGGTCTATGTTAATGTGTTATTAAGAGAGCAAAAGAGATAATGCTCCTATCCTGTCCTGGGCCACAGCTCACATTTCTCCTTGTTTCTGTGGCTTGTTGTTTCAGGGACACTGCAGCAGTCCCAGTCATGCACCAGCACATGGCAAGATGAGGTTGGCAGCAAGGTCAGCCATGCTGTCAAGGCTGCTCAGCCTCTGCGCAGATGGCCAGGAGCAACAGGTTTGTGCTCAATCTCACTATCCTTCACTGCAGCAAGACCCCTCCAGCACCTGATTTCATCTGCTTGATCAGCACCACAGCATCTGCTCCCACTAACTGACTGAGGTGGGGCTGTATGGGTACAACTGCCCATAACTTCTTGTGTTTGACCCCCAGGTTTTATTTCCATTAGGTTGCACTTGCTCTCTACATGGTGCCATCTTTGCCTGGTAAAACTAAAGAGCAGTAAATTGCACTTTAAAGAACTATTGGGTAGACTTAAAAACAAACAAACAAACCAAAAAACCCAACTGCACAATTTCATTAAGGAGATGGAAACGATGTAGCGTACTGAAGCCTATACAAAAAGCAAAAAAATAAGTTGTAGAAATCTTTGTGTCAATCAAACACTGACAGCTTATGTATTTCCATGAAAATACAAGCATAATTCAGCCAGAAAAAGTAAATGGCCGCAATATTCTCACTTTGTGTTTTAAATACCTCATGCAATCAGGAATCAACCACGCAGATTGATTTAGCTAGCTGATTACATATAAAATATGCTTTAAAAAATTCCAATTCTATTGTGTCTTTCACCTCTGATTCCAACAGCTGTTTATTTTCCTTCAGAAGAAAAAACGTTTTACAAACAACTGAGAAGACCAAATTATCATTTTAAGAAGCAGAACAACAAAACCATAACGTTTCTCTCTTTCAGGATGGAAAGCATCACACACTCAAACTTCACACTCTTTTTACACTACACTACAAAATGGGAACAGAGGTCACAGAAATTGCAAGTTGTCTCACCTCAGTGCAAGGGAGTGAAAAAACAATGATCACACAATGGACAAAATCAAAAGGTATGAAGAACAAGAGGACATCTTATGGGTAGACAAACATCAAAGCCAAGAATAAAACACTATGTTGAGTATGTAAGTAGTTAAGTAACAGCAAACTGGTCCTTAGCTGCTGAAATGTTAAAATGCACATTTAATAACACAGGACACATTGAGATGTATAATGCTTTTTTCCTAGTTCAACCTAATAAAAATTCCCATAAAACTACTGGCACATATCCTGAAACAAGGCATTGATGGAGAATTCGGAGATGGCAAGGACGTCGTTGGGACACAAGGTGGAACTGTCAGGTCATGCCATGCAGAGACAATCTGTCTCTGTGACACTGTAGTGTGCTCTGTGCATGGGTGAGAGGCACCGACGCCTTCTACTGCGATTGAGCAAGGCTCCAAACCATGACTTTCATGATAGCTTTAAAGCAAGATGGAGGAAGATGGCATGGGGAGAATACTGTACAACAAGTGGAGGAAAAAAACCTGGCAAAACATACATTGGTTATCAGAGGGTGACACGTCAAATGTGACAAAATAGATTCCACTGTGATTTTATCTGGGGGCAGAGAAGAAAACATAAGCATCAACACCACTTCAGTTTATCTGTGGAGCATTCACTTCTACTGTAAAAACAGTTCCTACCAGTGGCCCTTTTCACATTCCAGGAGGTCACCAACCAGCAGCCCAGGCTGCCCAGAGCCACATCCAGCCTGGCCTTGAATGCCTGCAGGGATGGGGCATCCACAGCCTCCTTGGGCAACCTGTGCCAGTGCCTCACCACCCTCTGGCTGAAAAACTTCCTCCTAAAATAGGTGGGGATGGAATTGTGCCTGATGACTCTTCTTGTGACAATAAAAAAAGGTAAAAATATGATTATTCTACAATAGGTTGATCTTGTCACCCTTTCCAGATCCTGTTAATATAGATACATAATAGATGTGATCGATTCCAGCTTTGACCAAAAGGAAAGTAGCTGCAAATGCTGGCCAAAGGAGTAGCTTTGGTTTTATTTTAAGAAGCTGAATGCTTCCAGACACCAGCAGAAATTGTTAAACTACTTGTCTCATCAACATCACCAGGAATGAAAGGAAACAACAGTGAATTATGACTATCAGCTAAGGTATTCACAAAGAGCAGAAAATGAATAAAACAATCTCGTGGCTCGCAATGCCCCTGCACTCCATATGCATCAGAAACGTGTCTGACTAAAGCAGGAATAACTAAAGTGCCACCAATTTAAGAATGAAGAGAAAAAAAAGAATTCTCCTGAATGATCTTCAATTTTCTGGTTATTTTTAGGGCATGTCATGGGACAATGAAAATACCAGAATATTTGGTCCAAATGCTTACTTTTCAAATTCGAGGGGAAGAGGAAAAGAGAGGAGAAAAGTGAAACAGAAAAAGTATTTCTGGGAGTGATCAAAGTTGGTTTGATTTTGTAGAATCGAAACAGACCAATTCATTCATTTTATATTTCTATAAACAGGAACAAACCCTCAATCTATATGTTTAGGAAAATCATTATAGCAGTCAGTGTGGAATATTTACGGAATTGGTTTCTGAAAAACTGATAATGCTGGCAACCATTCAGTAGCGCTTTAAGTAAAATGTGCATTCAAATAATGCAAGCAAAAAAGATCAAAAAGGTGATCATTTCCTTGCTATATTACAAAAGGCAGCATTTTATTCTCTTTATTGCAGAAGCACTTGCAAATTACTGAGTATCAAACAGTTGTACGAAGCTTTTTACAAGCACACACTGCAACATAATACGATATCACATGAATTTAATGGATGTTTATTAAAAACAGCACCAGCACTTAGTTCTTCTTATCCTTAGCTGAATGTTTTTTTCTCATAGATTATGCCATCTCTTAGAAAAAGCTACAAAAAAAATGCATGGTGACAGTTCTTTGAAGACACCTGCATTTTTTTGTTCACAAAAAGCCTTAAATGTGCAACTTGATAGAAAAAGAAAAAAGAAAAGCGATTTCATATTCCTAAAGTTTTCTATCTAGATAACAGGGGATGGCTTCCCTTTATAACAGCATTTGGAAAAAAAATGACTATTATCGTCAGATTACGCTGTGCTCCCAAGCACTGTGCATCAGTGATAAGAAGCTGCTTCAGTTTTACCAACACGCAGCAGTTTGCTACCTTGGACAATCACTGGAACTACTTTATTCACGCCCTAATTAAGCCCTATTTTTGAAAAGAATTAGTGATATTGTAAACAATCATCAAAAAATTTTAAACACAGTCACTACCATTAGCTATGCACTGTTGCCAGCAATGAACAAGAGCCTGTACGCTGTCCTTGTCAAAAATCTGCCCAAGTAGAGAATTATGGTGAAATTTTACTCTTCCTGTGCTTCACCCTTCAAAATAGTTCTTGTACATAATGCCAAAGAGTGGTGAAATGAGGGATGAGTCTCTCTGGTAAGAGAGGGCTTATGAAAGCCTAGTAGAGAGGCGTGATCAGACTTCATAGAGTCATTAAGATTAGAAAACATCTCTAAGATCATCTAGTCCAATGGTTCACCTACCACCAATACCACCCACTGACCATATACCTCAGCATGGTTCTTGAGCACATCAGCGGACAGTGACTCCACCACTCCCTGGGCAGCCTATGCCAAAACCTCACCACTGTTTCAGAGAATAAATTTTTCCTAACATCTAACCTTCAGAGTTGAATGTCTGATTGCAGCTCTATACATTCAATTTGGAAATTTACAGCTAATGTATTTAGGTTGACTGAGTGCACTGCCGGTTGGTTGGTGCTGAGGGCTGGGCCAGACTGCTGGCTCCTGCAATGGTGTGAGGCAGGGGATGCCCATAGGGTGAGCTGGGCTGAGCCAACCTGCAGGTTGGACGTGCCTGCCTCACCTCACAGGGCGAGGTGAAAGAACGTGGTCAAAACCTTGCACTTACTTCAAAAAATATCAATGCAAATCAAAACAAAATCTGTTGTCTGATCATTACTGGAAGAAGATAATGTGCCGAGCCAAGAGCACCAAGCATCAAATGGCTTGGGTTGAAAGACACCTTAAAGATTATCCAGTTCTAACCCCACGCTGCAGGCTGGGAAGTCCCCCATCAGCTCTAGCTGCCCTGGCATTGGGTACCTCCAGCAGTGGGGCACCCAAAGTTCTGGGCATCCTGTGCCAAGCGGTGAGGCACGTTCATATTTAAGTCTACTCAGACTTAAGTCTACAGACCCTTATTCTTGTGACATTGCCAAACGGTTTTATAGCATCCACAGCATCCTCAGAACTGTGTAATGTGTGAAGAAATTCTGCTTCTCATTTGTCTTGAACAGAGCATCTGCTGGTTTCACAGAGCTTTTCACAGTGAGTTTGGTCCAAGCTAGTAAAGAAGCACTCCAGAGCACACATTCCTGATGCAGCATTGCCCTGGGAGATGCTGTGCCAATGCATCCATGCCTCCTGCCTGTGCCGTCTTCAGGTTCCTTCTAAACACAGATTTCCCCTTCACCTTTTGGCAGGAGCCATTCTAGCTGACGTTTCCCTACTTCACCTCCACCCCTCTGCATGATTCCCCAGCAGAACAATGTTTGCAGCTTTTCATGTCATTGCTGGCTTTGTCTGTTGTCATCCTGGTGGGCAGGGAAGTGACTGAACCTGCAAGCCCCAGCCCTCCCTGACATGCCTGGGCACAAAGAAAACAGGAGCTTTAAACAAATCAAATCCAGCGCCCTGCTGCCATCAGACAAGGGGACACAGGGTTCATCCATTCTCATCACTGCATTCGTGACACACAGGTAGCTCTCCTCTATTTTCTTTCAATCCCTTAGAAATGGAATACAAAGCAAAACACAGACTCTCCACTGCGTGTACTATTCTGTTATAAATCAGACGGAGAAAAGTCTTTCCCTCCAGCTATGCAAGCTGCAAGGATGTCTAGAACAGAGGGAGAATGATTTTTAACACTTCTATCTTTTGCATCAGGTGGCTACACTGCATACCTATGGCCTCAATCCTCCATGGGAACCAGAGCTTGGCCTGCTTGAGATGGACAGTCTCCTCATTGAGTGCCTGTCCAGCTTATGTGAACCCTCTCTACTTAAAGGAAGATAAATATTTCCAAGAGGAAAAATGAATGGCCCGACACATATTCCAAATGACAACAAAAAAATCCACAAAAAGAAGATTTTGTGTATGCATGTTTTGATCACTGCAGATTTTTCATTTACTGCAGATCAAACCAACATCTCCAAATGCAGCTGCGGGCTATTTATTGGCTGAAGACGTTGTTTCATAGCACATTTTCAGTTTCAGAAATGTGGAATTTTCTGATTGAAAGTACCAGGCTGAATAACAATCGGTTTTCTGCAATCTCAGCAGGCATTACGAGGGTTTGGGATCTCCAGATCACGTTGGTAGCTATCCAGGCCTATAATCTACTCATGCTGCTGCTAAAACTGAAAAACCAGAGCTTTCAGCAAACTGTGTTCCCTTTCTCTAAGAAACTGGGAAGGAATCTTCAGCGTGAATGAAAAAAAAAACCCCAAAGATCACAAGATCTACTGCTGAGAGTTTCTGAGCTGTTTTCTGTTCTTCTACATACAGCTGTATGAGTAAACCTGGCTTTGGAACTTAAATGAATCTTTAGACATTTCTTTTCAAAGTTTGCACTTCTCCAAATTCGGTTTTAAATGATTCAGTCTTAAAATAACCGTGAAAACTAAGACTATCAACATTTAAGTGGTTCTCCTCGGAATAGCCAGGAGCTCTCCTCTGCAGAGTTGCTATAAAAAGCTGCTAGAATTGTAAGAGCAACATAAAGCCAAGGTTCCTGGATGTTAAGTTTTGCAATATTTTCTCTAATAAAATATTGAAGGAAAAGATCTAAGTTGTTGAAAAGAGTTTCTATCAGATTTTAATGGAAATAGATACTTGAGTTTAACATCATCAGTTCTTTACAGCACCTGTTCCTATGTGATAGGAAAACACATAATTGCTGCATCTGGCTGGGTCAAAGCCAGATATGTGGACAGACTGGGAGGACTCCCTGAGAGCAGCCCTGTGGAAGGATGGGGGTCCTGGTGGATAAAAGGTGCTCTGCTCTCATGAGACCCCACCTGCAGTGCCATATCCATGCCTGGGCCCCAGCACAGAGAGAATCACAGAATGGCCAGGGTTGGAAGGGACCTCAAGGACCATGAATCTCCAACTCCCCTGCCACATGTGGAGGGAATGAGGCTGTTGGAGTGATTCCAGAGGTGGGCATG